TTAGGTCGGGCGTCAGAGATTGCCTGTTAAAGGCTTTCTCACAAACTTTCACCCTTCAAATCACGCTGGTGGTTTTCTTTAGAGCTCTGTAATTCTCCCTCCTTGTCAGTCACCCACTTGTGTCGCCGATTTTGTGAACAACAGCGCACACGTGGAACCAGTTTTTATTTGACTTGTACCTGGAGGAATGCGCTAACCCATCTCTGCGCCCTTAGCCTGGCACGCCTCTTTCCGACTTGTTTTGTTTCTCTCCTCAAAAGCAGTTGCCCTTAGCCTGGCACGCCTCTTTCCTCTCCGACTTGTTTTGTTTCTCTCCTCAAAAGCAGTTTTAGTGACACAGGTGCCTGTTCTGGGCTGCCCTGCTCTGCTTGGCCGCATTCCCCCAGCGTGGTTCATGCTCCCCGGCTGCTCGGCGTGAAGGAAGTCCCACGGTGCCGTGGTGGAGGTGGATGGGTTCCTCTTCCACCGCCAAGGCAGGAAGGAAAGACCCAATCCTGCTGTGGGCTGTGATTAAAAGCTCAGAGACGCGGTTTATGCCCGCTCCTTGGGGGTTTTGATCAGCGGAGGGAGAGAAGGACCAGCAGATGCCGCTTTCCCTTTGTTTTTCCATCAGGATACTTGTAAGAACAACCCGGAATGGACAAAGGAATGTGTCGGCCTCCTGCCACCCTTGTCCCTGCTGGCCTGGAGCTTCAGAGGCATTGCGGAGGGCAGGCTGGCGGGGAGGGGTGCTGGGCCTCGCGAGGATCCCCCAAACGGCCGCAGCAAAGTCGCGATAAACCCCAATTCCCCTCCCTCCTCCTCTCGTTCCTGCGTGCTACGCCACGGGCTCGCCCAGGGGCGCTGCTGCGAAGAGCGGCAGGACCCGAGGCGCGATGCCCTCGGTTTGGTGTTGCTCGAGGTAGCGGCGTGTTCCTCCTTCACTCCTCCAAAACCAAGTTTGAGTCCTCTCTGCCATCCAGCTGTCGAAAGGCAGTTCTTGAGCACGGGGCGTCTCGTCGTTCCTGCTGGCCTTCAGGATGCGTCCGTGCTTTCAGCCCCGAGTTGTTACGTGAAGCTGCGGTACGCTAAAAACCAACCCCAAAACATTTAATTTTGCTCGTGGTGTTCAGGCCTCGTCCCCCGCGGCGCTCAGGTCTCCGCGGGAGGCTATGGCGCTTTCAGGCACGTGACGCGTTCGTCCCAGATGCGGACGATGTACTTTAGACCCAGGTTTAACCCCTGAACAATGTTAATTGTTGAATGCGAACTGGATCTAGAAAACAACACCTGGGGGTGCAGCAGCATCGGGCCCCTGTGCGTTACGGAGCCTCAAAAAATCGCTTCTTGCTCAGAGTTGTGGCCTGGGAGGTGTGACAGCGCCAGCTCTCCTCGGGGGGGCCGGGGAGCTGAGTTCCTGAGGTCGAGCCTTTTCCAAGCTTTTCTGCCCTTCCCGCTTCTGTTGAAATGAGGGGCTCGAGCCTCGGGGGTTTCAGCGTTGGAACACGTCTTTCTGGCTTCTTCTCATGGGCATCTGTGTTTCAGTTAAAAAAGCTCTTGGTCAGACGCAGTCCAACCCTTTCTTCGTTCCGCTGGCCATCTTCTGCCCCTGCTCCCCTTTGGCTGCCGGCGCTGACGCCCAGCAGCATCAGCCCCTCAGACAGCCGAATTTAACCACCGGGGGCCAAGGCTGGCTCTGACGTCCTGCCCTGGGGTCACGGCAGCCGCTGCCCATCCGGGGGGTGGTGCTGAGGGTGGTGCTGGGCTCTGCCCTGGTGCTTTGGGGAGTCATGGCCTTCACCCTCTGCAGCTCAGGCGCGCGGTCCTGACCCCCATCATCCCAGAGCAGAGAGCTCAGGCTGAGATTAACAGACTTGGCTGGTGAAAAACAGCGCTATTGCCGTAAAAAGAAGTGCAGAAATCGGTGTTCAAGCCGCCGGCGCGTTGGGAAGAGCTTTAAGGTGCCACCCTGGGGCGAGGCAGCTGAGCTGCTCCGGTCCTGTAATGCTGGAGTCACTCTTAGATCGCCCCTGGGCACCAGCCTGGTCCTCGCCAAGACCTTTGGGGCTCTGCTGGCAGCACCTCCTCCCACTAGAATCATGGAATCATTTGGGTTGGAAAAGACCTTCAAGGTCATCAAGCCCAACCGTTACCCCTCACCACTAAAGCCTGTCCCTGAGCACCTCGTCTGCCCGGCTCTTAAATACCCCCAGGGATGGGGAAGGCGGCCCAGGCACCTCGTGGGTGTGGTTCCCGTGCAGCCCCTCCGAGCTCTGCGCGCACACGCTGCTTATCGGGATTTTATTCGAAGGCTGAGAAGGAGGGTTCAGTGGTGCTCAGCCCGCTAAGCTCCGCTCAGCAGCTGTGCTGGGGGCCGGGTGGGCCTGTGCTGGCCGGTGGGGCCCAGCTCACGGAGGAGAAGAAGCTGGCGTTTTTTTCCTTAAAACCTTCACTCCCTGCTGAGAAGGGGGTCGGGTCTGCTGGGCTTCCAGGAGAAGATTTGCCATCTGCAGTTCCAGTCCTGAGCTGGTGCCTTCCACCCCCGGCTGATTGTGCTGGTGTTTACTGGGGTCAGCTGGGACCAAAATGCCTAAAACGAGCTGGAAGCTCCCAGGATAAAGCTCCTCCCTACTGCTGCCCCAGGGCTGCACCTCCCTGGGTGCTCTGCTGAGCTCTGCAAGTAGGTGGCTTGGGGTGACGGCTGAAGGTTTGGGAGCTCTGGGTGGGCGTTGCCTCCTCATCGCCCTGGGAAAGGAGGATGAGGATGGGCCTGTGCGCTTGGGGATGACGTTCAGGTTCCAGGAAAAGTTTTAGGCTTTCTCCAGGAGGAAACCCTTTCCAAGAAACAACTGTCTTCAGGCTTTAAAAGCGTAAAAATTCTTCATTAGGGAAGAATTAGAAATATTTTGGGTTTGTCCTAGCCGAGGTGCAATGGAGATGTGTCCTTGATCCCTTCCGCAGCCGAGTTTGCTCAGGGCGCTCCCCAAACCAGCTCATCTTTGAAAGACAGAGGGGAACCTTAACTAAGAAGAGGCCTTCCGGTAACGCACAAGTCTGTAAATGGAGGCGGGTTAATCCAGGCCTAATTTCTAGGGTTTATGCTTTTGTAATCCTTTTGATCCCTGGGACCTCCACCTACTTTGTGGGATTAATCTGTGCCCCCGCCCAGCAGCCAAGCTCTGATCTCAGCTCAGGCTCACAGTTAGGTTTCACGCCGATCCTGGATCTCCGCTTGGTTTGTCGGGGAGGGGGAGCTGAGCCAAAAAAAAAAAGGTTAAAAAACAAACTTAAAGTTTAAACCCCACCCGGCGTGTCCTGTTCCAGCAGCTGCGGCTCCGGGAGGGAGCTACCGCAGCGAGCCCGGGGAAAAAGCTGCAAAAAGGGAGAACCGCGGGGATGGGGACCCCGGCTGGGGGCTCCGGGCCCGCTTGGAGCCTTTTCGGGCGCGATGGGGAAGGAGGCGGCGGGGCCGGGCCG